CCCAGCGCCCCCGGGCCGGCGTGCGGCCGCGGAGCCCCGGCGGTGCGGGGCAGCCGTCCCCCTCCGCCCACCCGGGAATCCTGTACTCCCGGGGAAAAAGGCAGAGGATTGCGTTAATCGGCACCTAATTTTCCGCCGAGCGTGTCTTGCGTGGCGGGGCGGCTTAGAGCTGATCTCCCTTCCAAATAAAGCCGCGCGTCTATTTATGGCCGCGGCTTAAAGAGGAGCAGATCACATGTACCATGTTGGAAGTTCTTGAAAAACAGCCAAAGTACAGAGGTCAAGTTTCCTGTACTGAAAGCAACTTAATGGGATGCAAGACGGCAACGTCCTTCGCGAGGATCTGGCGGTAGCTGGAAAACTGGGTCACTCTGCGTTTTTCACTAATTGCTGGGTTCAAATAATAAATTGCTTTAGCGTATTTCTAAACAGTGTGGAGGCTAGAGAGGATCTACTTGAAGGACTGTTACTGCTTCAGCTGTGGGAGCGTTGCCAAGGGGTTCACATCAGAAGATGAGGGTCAGGCCCCCAGTATTGCTTGGTGGATGGTATTATGAATAAGAAAATACGTAGTTGTGGGATCTGACTCTTCATTAGAAATTAAGGGACAAGGTAGGCAATATGATGGTTTTGCAAATTTCCCTGAGGTCTACTTTTAAGAAATCGTAAAACTCCTTGACGATGCCTTGCCCAAAGCCAGTGCTTTCAGTAGCTGCTGTTGTTGAGAGGCAGCAGCTCTCAGGAGTTTTACAAGGAATCGTACGCAAATAGGCTCTACCGGCGTGCCCGTGAAACTGCCTATTCTTGGAAAAGCTTATATGGAAGGATTTAATGTTGACAGACTTAAGTAGTGATGTCTCAGCTGTGAAGAATCTGTTGTTTAACCAACTTCATGAAGCAAAAGCGCTTATCATTAAAGCGAGAGTATTCCCTTTTGTTTTAGGAGATCGTGGAGGCTTTAGACATCTATGCAATTTGGTATGCACATAATTTGATAGCCTGTTTTATAAGAAGTGGATTAGAATCAGAAGAATCACCCTCCCAAACTCCAGCAGAAGAGGGCAATGCAACTTGCGCAGATCAAACAGCCTTAAAATGGAAAAAGGATTTATATAGTGGCAAGTTGGGCAACGGCTCTTAAAACTGCAGCTATATTCTTCTAAACACTCTTTTATGTTATTGGTGAGTTGATAAGTTATGATTCACTGCCATTTGACGTTAAATTTACTGTCACAAAACATTAGCGATCACTGGCTGAAACCAGACGGTTGTTTTTTTAAATTCTTGGGTGCCGAGGGCTGTCTAAGAACAGGCTGTTACAGCCTGCAGAGAGCATTTTGTCGTCACGTTTTCCCAGAAGCGTACACTTCCTTCTTTCTGGCTTTGCTAATACTTTAATACAAGCATTATTTTTTAATTTTTTTTTTACATTCATAAGACATATTAGCTGCTTCATGTCTGTAAAGCAAAGAAGGCCAAGTATCACTTTTCTCACCAGCTGGGACAATTTTAGCAATAGTAATCAGTTTAATTTCCCAGCTTGATTCAAAACACTGCTATTTACACTCCCATTGTGTGGCGATATCCTTCCCTGTTTATGTGCCCAGGTTTAAAATTTAACGACATCCACCATGCTGTTTTTTCTTCCTAGTAAATTCAGAAGACGGGGCCGGAAAAGTAAGCAAAAAGAAAGCATGGCGGTATCGCTCCTGTATCGAACTTGGGAAGTGCGGCTAAAAGGGATTACCGGTATTATTAGGGTCCTGATCCGGCGGTCCTCGCTGAAGTAATAACTTGTGCGGGAGCTTTGCCAAAGGCTGAGTGGGGGCAGAAGGCTGCAACAGTTGGCGCTAAAGGAGCAAGACGTCAATTGCCTTACATTAATGGGCATTCTTCTCCCAAATATTTAAAGTAGACCGGTGTGGATTTGTCTCAGGGGCTTCAGTTGGTAGCAATTGCTGGGAGAAGGGGGTTAGAGATGTCCCGGTGTGGAATCTTTTGGGGATGTACACCCCTTCTCCTAAGTCACTGGAAATGAAACACAACCGGTTCTGGTGCGATGCAGATCTGGATGGATGCAGAAATCTCCCGTGTTAACCCTGTGAGGTGAGAGGGTCGGGACGACACCCACCGCCCTCCCTCCCCAAGTTACAAATACTTGCACGTGAAGCGCTTGGTCTTTTTACATAGCTCTTCCAGGTGAGACAATAAATATACAAAAGAACAAAGTCTACTATATAAATGAAAGCAGATTTATAAAATTACAAGTTTAATAGATAAATATAATAAATACTTTATGCATCATAACTCTGGACAACTACATTTAAAGCAAGTATGTTGGCAAGTCACAAAAAAGTTGCGCCTCGGCAACTTTATTTTTCATAAAACCACACTGACAGGCATATTACAATGTTACGTATGAGGCTTTATGCTGTAAGTATGTTCAAATCCCGCTCACCTACCGAGTTCACCATGACATATATATGGGTGTAGTGTACTTTCTATTTTGGAATGTCTTTTTGCACACCAACACGGTTGGACAGATAGATGTTCTACTTACCAGGGACAGTGGGGGAGAGTTTTGAAGAAAAATACTGGTAAATGACTTCTAGAAAAACTAAAGCATTTCTTAACTTTTTATTGACATTGGCAAATTAAAATAGAATAAATTAACAATATTTTCTCAAAAAAATGTTTTGTACAAAAATACTGTCAAAATTTCCTGAAAAGCTTTCAACACAGTAGTATCTTTTCATGTACTGAATAAACTATATTAGCACAGTGTCAAAATGCTGAAGACAGAAACAAAATAATAATTAAAAAAAAATAATCTGTGAAATGTTTGCCACTAGTCAACATTCCATCCACACCATATTATTGTCTGTACATATGGGGGAGGGGGAATGGGTAGCAGACTTTTTAAGTAACAGTATTACTTTTCCTGATCTGGAAAGGTTTGGCCCACATCTGTTAAGCTTCCAGTTTAGCGTATTCAAAAAAAAAAGAAAAATTATTAGTCTGCGCTGCAATGCATAGTTAAAAATTAAGCAAGATGGCAGCATTTGTGCAGTAGTATCTGCCCTTCAAAGTTCATGCAACCAACTAATGCAAATTTTTCTCCCTGTTCACTCAGAATTTGAACGCAGTTCAAGTCATTGGAAATCATCGTTTACAAAATCCACAAGATTAAGCAATTTGCCAAGATTAATATCTAACAGTTCAGCACTGTGGGAATTATGGGCACGTTACCGCGAGGAAACGAAGAGAGCGAGGAGGGGAGGGGGGCGACCAACGTAAGAAGGCAGAGTTCGCTAGAAATCATTGCTACGAGAGGGGACGTGGATGTCGAAGCTACAAAAAAAAAAAAAAGTGGCAGCGATTTAATAACGACAACCAAAGGAAAAAAAAAAAAGAATTTATACAAGCGCATAGTTGACTCTGCTTTCCAGATTCTCACCTTTTCAAGCCCTGAAAAGTGAGACACCGCGTCTGGGGGAATGTTTTCATTCGCACCGATAGAAAGTCCTTTGTTTGTTTTAAATGAATCAGCAGCTCACCCTGCTGGGCTGCTGTTTGCAAACGAAGTCCGTCATGAAGTCAAACTCGTTCTGTCCCAACCACAGCTCGGGAAGCTCCTTGATGCGATCCAGCCCCATTTCGATGACTAAGGACATGAGGACCTCCTCGTCGATGAAGTCAGTGTCTATGACATTGGGCGGCAGCATTGCCGCGGGGACGTGGGGGACGGCGGGCGGCAATGCTGCCGCCGCCCCTGCCGCCGTGCTTGGGGTTGCAGTCCCTGAAATGCTGCTGGCTGCTGCCGTTCAGCTGGTGGCTGCCGGGGTGCAAGTCCGGCATGTAGTGGCTGTGGGGGTAGGGGTGGTGGCTGAAGTACTGGTTGTTCAGCTTCTGGAGCTGCATGCTGGCGCTCTGAGACCGGGGGGCCCCTGAAGCGGGCGGGGGGCGGCATGCTGCCGGCCGGGTGCCCTCCGCTGACGCCCCCCGGCCCCATGGCGTGCCTCACCCCGCCGCTCGCGTTCATATTCCCAGCTCCGTAATGTATATGGTCGCCCATCAGGGCGCTGAAGGCGTGCTGCTGCGGCGGCGGCTGCTGCTGGTGGTGGTGGTGGGGGGTGGGAAACTGCCCCATGCCCATCCGATGCGCGGGGTGGTGGTGAAGCCCGCCGGATCCGTCGGGGAATCGCCCGTGGTTCATGGCCATCATGTGGTCTGCCATTGCCCACCTGGAAAGTCAGCGTGCCAACACGTTAGGAAAATACACCCTCGGACATCCAGCCGCCCTCTCCCGGCCCGGCCGCATCTGCCCGGCCCTGCCAGAAGCGACTTGGCTGGGCCCGCCGCCCCCTCCCTCCCCCTTTTTTTGGGTGGGGGGGCGAAGGGGCCCCAAAACCTCCGGCCGCGGCTCTACCGTGGAGTACAAAGGGAAAAATAAGAGCGGAGCCTGCGGTACGAAAACCCCAGTCCCCTCCGCTAATCCGGCGAGCAACACGCCTTCCCACTCCAACTTGCGCATACCTATCAGCGGAAAGTGTTGCATACGGCAACAGCCGCCGCCTCCCCGCGCGTTCAAACGGCGCCCGAGCCCCCGGCTTCGCCCGGGAAGGCGGCGGGGTTCCACGGCGGTCTCGCTAACTTGCGGGGAACGAGCAAAAAGCTGGCAAGTCCCACCGAGCCGCTGTCAGCAACTTTTGGAATTAAGTCCTAATTATTTGGGTAAAAATACGGGAACGCACCGATAAGGAGGTAAAGCCGGGCAGCTGAGAAACACCTTTCCTCGCGTGTTTTAACAGTCCCGGTTTTCCTGTTGCACACAAAAGGGACACCCGGCACCAGCTACCAGAACCGCCGCACTCACCTCCCGGCTTCTTTCTTCTTCTGCTTCAAAGGCGGCGGTGAAATCAGTCAGTAAAAGTCACCCCGCATAGAGAGGGCTTCCCCGGCCCCCTCCTCGGTGCTGCGTGACGGCGCGGCGACCGCTGCCGCAGCCCCAGAGCTGTTTCCCACTCCCCGGCGAGGCTCCCCGGCACTTGCCAACAATGAGCTGTGTTTCTTACCCAGCTTTGGCCACAGCTAATATAGGATTTCAGAAGGGAGGAGCAAAACCCTTACAGGCAACCAGAAGTAAAACCTGGAGCAAGCGAGGGGAGGGCACGCATCCTGGGGAACCTCCCCGCAACCAACGCCTCTTTATTTATCCAACATGTGATCTTTACAAGTTCAGCTATTTTCACCGTGCCCTGCTATTAATGGATGCAAAACACAGTTGAGTAAGGCATTGGACAAAAATCTCATTTAGAGATCAAGACAAGCTTAATTGGTTTCTAGCCAGACCTGCACAAAGATGGGTTACTCCACAAATACAGTTGCTAATCTGCCCATTATACTCCCTAAGCTCCCACCGACAAAGAAAAAGAAAATAAAGAAAAGATGCACAAAGGAATGCAGTATTTTGAGCATGTTACTTCCAGCAAGTAACACATCAGAAGCGATGAATTCTGCAAGAACAAAGGCTTTGCTTTTCTTTGAAGGAAAAGGATAACCAAGTAGTAAACAAAATAACAACAAAAAGACCTAATGTAGATCAAATCTGCATTTTCCACAGGCAATCCCCATCCATTTTAGGTTCCTGAAGAGCATTTCCAGCAGCTATTGTTCCTGCAGGCAGGCAGAAGCAGGGGAAAAGCTTACGCGGCCAAGGAGATGTCATGTCACAAGTGACAGAGTAGAAAGGATGGAGAACCTTGTGATTAAAAAGCACAGGACTGAAACCCTGGCGAGCTGAATTCACTTCCTAACTTAGCTGAAAAAAAAAAAAAAAAAAAAAAAAAAAAAAAAAACGAGATCCACCTTTTTCCACAGACACGGGCGCCGCATGCGGGAGGTGTGCGTGGGGGTGCTGCACACTCCCCCCACCCCTGCTGTTTGCCCCACAGCCACCCGGGGTGCGCCGGGCGAGTGCCCACCCGCTCTTGCCCTTGGCCGGGTCGGTGGGGTTTGTTAGCGTTATTTACGATTGTTTTTCTTGGAATGGCACGGAAAAACAGAACACGCGGAGCGCGGGTGGGCAGGCGCTTTGCAAAGGCGGTCGTCCTGGCCGGGCACGTCCCCCATCGCCCCCCGTGTCAGGCAGCCCCTGCCCCGCAGCACCGCCCCGGCAACGCCACGCGTGGGCAAACGCCCCGAGACCCGCGCTCCTCTCTCTTGCTCCGGATCCACCAGCTCCTCGCTGAAGGGCGGCCGTGCTGAAGCCGCAGGCAAGCACTGAGGTGCCGGGGGAGGCCTGCTGCAGGGAAGCGCCGGATGGTGGCCTGTTTTCAGGGGTGCCTTCGCCTGGCTTTCTGCTCCCCCTCTCTGCTTTCCCCCTTTCGGCTACCCACGGGCACGCCGAGGGGGCAGCGGTAGGCAGGACACCCTCCCTGGGTGGGAGGAATTGTATGCTCCTCTTTTGAGGCCGAAGCGGCCATCGTGTAGGCTGAGATGGGGTTTCTGCTCCTCCACGCGCTCCACAAGGACACAGCGGTGCAGGAGGTCCTCCCTGGGGAGGCGCAGGCGAGGGCAAATGGGATGCTTCAAGATGCTGTCCATGTGGCAGCCCTCTTGCCCCCTTTTGGGTGGGTCCTTACCTGGCCACAGCGAACTATGAAGCTGAAACCAAAAGGAGGGTTAGCTCCACCTCATCTCCGGCTGGGATGGAGGCAGAGCTGGGGTCCCGGGTGCAGCGTGGTGTGGCGGGTGAGAGGAGAAGGGTATAACTCCCTGCGTGGTTGGTGCAATCTTTAGGAAAGCCATGCGGGCAGGCAGCAGTGGGTGGGCGCGTACAAGATGCCAGAAAAATACCTGGCTGACACCCCTGCTGTGAGGGACAGCCGGGGTGGAATCAAAGCCCTGGGAGGATGGGAAGCTTTACAAGTGTCCGAGTGACCTCAAGGAAGTGACCTCATCCTGCAGCTCCGTTTCCCGCAGCAATTAAGTAGGGTACCCACCACGAGTTCACATTTTGGCCTTCAAATGCATGTGAGTAGGTGGGCCTCTGGGAGATGCCGTTGAACCAGGACCTCCAGTCTGGCCACAGGTGGTCAGAAAAGTGACAGTACCTTTCCGGAGATTTTTCCTGCTCGTGGTTGTGCAGGTTTTGCAGGGCAAAACAATGAATAATAAGAAGATCCTGTTCCATTTGGCAAGTAGTCAGCTGTGTATCATGACAAGTGGTTTGTTTAATGTCACATATCCATGGTGATACTGGTATGCCTTTTTGCTCTCCACTGCCTTAAGTTTGCGATCCTTTTCAAAGCCAAGCACACATCATATCACCACCCTGCAAATGCCCTTTCCTATTTTCGGCTTTCAGATGCTGGAAGCTGCCAGCTTGCCAAAGTGAGTTATGGAGAATTGGCATGAGACTGCCAAGAGCAATAGTAGGGAAGTCACAGCCTCCATGGCACCTCACTCATACAAAACATACCTTCAGGTATTTACAGCCCACACGCAAAGAATTCGGCAGGATGGAGCTTTCTTCATCGGGGGTTACAGTGGGGTCCAGAGAAGGCTCAGCAGAGCGGTGCCAGACGAGCCAAGTTTGTCATTGTTTATGGCCATAGCAAAGTGGAAACACAATCAGTTGGTTGCTTTCCAGGAAATGGCTGGAAAACTGGTGACAGGCAGCTAGGGGAATGCGGGACGAAGCATGAGCCCATCGCCCCTGAGCTAGCAGGAAGCCCCTCATCTCATCTGTTTGCCTCTCCTGATCTAAGCCATGGTTATTTAAAGAAATCTTTTCACTCGTATTCTTCAAAGTCTTCTGCATACCTGAGTTGGTTCTTCAGTCAAACAGCAAGAAAGCAGGGCACTGTGTATCGGGAGAATGCCAGAGATGGCCAGGGGCGGGAATGAAAGCAGCAGGGTTCACAGAGTTGCTCCTCAGTGAAGAATCCGAGTAGAGTTGAAAGCAGAATGTGACTGCTGTGCCCATCTAGGAAGAATCACTGAGAAATATCAAACACGACAACGGAAAATAAAGGAAAAGATGGATGCTCGGTTGGGTGAGCTGGGTGTTAACGTTTTGCATCGGAAGGTCAGGCAGGCACTGAGGCTGGGTTGCGGATGCAGCCCCGCTCACTCCTTCCAGGCTCGAACGTCTGCAGAGTGCGGTAAAAGGAAGGAAAGGGAAATCAAAAAGGAGAATCCCAGATGCTGTTTTTCCAGGTATTTACTGGAAATGTTCAAGCTGGCTGAATACTTGTAGTTCCAGGGATATATCACTGAACAAGATACACAGGGCAATGGATTTCAGGGGGACTTGGATCTCTAAGTCCTTTTTCACAACTCTAAAAATATAATCCCTAACTCTCCGTGACTTGTCTGTGCCAGATCAGTGTGGAGGTGAGTTTCTGTATGTTCCCTCCCATGCAGACACAAAGCAGTCAGGAAAACCCAGTTCAGGACATCTGCTAGGTTATCTGATAGGAAATTTCATATTAGAATGATATCCTGGAAGAAATGCCCTTTCTGTAGAAATGATTAAGCTCTGCTATTGAGAAGACAAGCCACGATTTTCTGGCTGCTCTCGCTCCTGACCTCCTTACAGCTTCCTTCAATCCCACCCTTCCCCGGGGCAGCCGGCGCTTGGGAGGGAGGAGGGAACTGTGGCGCAGGAGGTCCCCAGCTCTTTGCTTTACCAGCGCCGAGCTGGACGGCTGCCGCTGGTGTCACTGCCCGCCCCAAGGAAAAACAATGAACGTGACGAGTTGGTTCCAGATGGGCACCCAGGAAGCAGAGAAATCTGTTTTGGTCTCTCAACATACCTTTTTTTTTCCCCGGGAATTCCCTTTGTGAGAAGAACAGTGGGGTTTTTTGCCTGTGGGGTGAAAACGCAGGGGTTTTGACTAGAAGGGAGTGCCATTTTCTGACGTGCTTTACTGAGAGACCTATTATTCTTATGTGATTGGGGGGAAGAATGGACACAACCTTAGCCATGGGTCTGGGCACGAGATCCTCCGAGTATCCAGGCGGGAAGGAATTACCTTGGGAAATTCGGCTGTTTGAACAGCACCAAAGTCCAAACTATGGCAGAAAACATAAGATTAACTCGGTTCGCTTAGTTTGATACCAGGCACAAGCTTCCTAAAGCCATCACAGCTCCCCTCTGCCGGTCCAGACACAGCCAGGCGTTTCCCAGAATGGAGCATCTGCCCTCCCGTTTCACCAGTCTGCTCTCCTGGGGAAGGCCAGTGTTCAGTGAGGTAGTGCACCTGACATACAGGTAGGCAGCCCAAGTGTGGAGGAGATGACCCGCTGGCGACTTCTTTCAGTGGTGGCATACGTTACAAGGAGTTACTGGAGTGATGTCAGAGCAAATCTGTACCGCGTTCCTCACAGCTGGCTAGCGTGGGAGTCGGTGGAAATGCAGAGAGAGACAGAGCGTGCGCTATCTCCATTAGTCAGCCCGGGACTCATTTTTTCTTTGCCAGGTTTCACAAGGTAATCGATCTGTGTGCTGATGGGAAGTGGTTGCTCTGCTGAGAACAGGGGTTACCAGTGTATTTGTTAGCAAGAAACCTTTCTGAAAAGCAAAGAGTTACCCAGAGCGAGGAGCTTCCTGAAGCATTTGGGGGGATGTTAGAGAGTTTCATGTGTTTACATCCCTTGCTGGTGTGTCAGGAACCAAAGATGGCACCCATCAAAGTGCTGTTCTAAATTAAGGAACACAGGCTATGCAAATTGTGTTACTCTCTCCCCACCCATCTTTTCCTGTTTTGTTTAGATGGCTCAAGATAGTAATATGCCTGTATATTTTATATCGGTAATAATGAATGCGGCTTTGCACCCTTCATCTGCATCGTCTTGTTTGTGTGAGAATATCTTGGGAAGGGTGACAAGCTCCGTTGTTTTACCGTTATGCCCTCTCAGCGCAGTGCTTCAGGCCTTGTGATAGCAACCGAGGTTCTTCCTTAAGTGTAATTTCACTGCAAGGTATTTTCTTTGAAAAAGTAAATCTGTAAAAATGAGAATACTTATTAAGAACACTATTTCTTGAAGAGGCTCAAGAGGA